TTTTGTCAGAAAAATTTGGTCCGAGGGGTGTCGTTTTAGAGAGATTCCATAGAAAGTCAATAACTTTCTGCTTCATGTTTTACAAGGACAGACGAATTTGACATAAGTACTCTATTTTTGGCCTCATAACTTGTATTTTTTTAACTTTCTAGCTTCTATCCGTATCCTATCTGAAGAAAATATTGAAAAACTCATCTCCTGTCTCCATAAAAACCAATAAATTATTATTTTATAATTTATTTTTCGTTTAGATGAAGCATAAATTGTTAAAATACACCTTTCCAAAAATTAATTTAATTATTCTACTTTGTATATTTCTATTTATTCTGATTTCTTCAATTTCCTGTAATTATCCTATTTCTGTGCAAATATCTGGAGATTGGACAAAACTTCGGGAATTTCAATGGCTCGTTCCAGTAGAACCAGCGAGACGTTTTAAATGCTTTGTTATTAGTGAAACGATGGAAAAATATGAAGGAAAATTAATCACATTAGATGAAGGAAATGACATGACATTCTCTTTTATGATACCTTCTAACAAAAAGGACATGCTAAAAAGAATTTGGCTTATTGAATGCATTGTTTGTATGCCTGTATTTATTCAAAATTTATTGAATAATTTGGATTTTCAAGTTAATAAATTAATTTTATTCAGACTGGATCCTCCCTCAATCCGAAAAAAAGTTTACGAAAAAAGAGTTGGATATCTGGATGGAATTTACGGTTCGATAACCAAATATCCGACAACCTTACTTTTAAACAGTAATTTATATTTATTTTTTCAGCGCATCAGACGTATCATTATAATTAATGAATTGGAGTCTAACAAGCCCATCAAAGTTTCTTTTGACAATAAAACTGTCAAATATGCAAACATTGCTGACAAGCTAAAAAATGATCGTCCCAAGTATCAACATTTGAGTGATCAGCAATACGAGCACAGAACATTGTTAGAAATTTCTCGATATGAAAAATATATAAAAAGTCAAGAAAAGCAGTTTTGGAGGGAGTACAAATATGCACTTATATATTTACAAATGTATAATATGGTGTTAATAAAGGACGTTCTTTCAATATATCTTAATGAAATGGATCGCAAACATAATGAATTTTTGTTGAATAAATTTTATGATAAGATGATTGAAATTGCCTCAGAGTTGGAAACTGATGGTGGGAAAGGTGAAAATATTTCTTTTATTAAAGCCAGATTTCTCAGGGTAGTTGGGAGATGTCGTTGATTTTTGGGAGATTAAGAGGGATATTGAAGGCCGGGACATCAGAGGATTTAAGAGATTAAAAATAATCTTGATTAATTTGGTGTTTAAAATTAGGAGGAAGATATAGAATCCACCTTGATACAAGATAAGACGCACAAATCCCTTATCATTTACACCTTACTTTATCTTTGATAATAAATATTTTTTCATATAGAAAAATCTACGCAAAACAAGCATGAAAAATTTCCACAGAGAGTCTTATGTCTTATGATTTCAACTATACAAAATCATCTAAAAGCTCCTATTGCGGATAAACCTCCGATAGCTACACATTTTCCAACTATCATTCCAGGTAGCTTTTACCGTATTGTATTGAATTGACGGTCTTTTATTTGAAAAACTAATTATCCCATGCAACCGAAAAACAATGGAATGTTATTATTGATTTTCGGAACCTATGGCTACAAGTTTCATGGATAATTACTTTAACTTATTATTTAAACATTGTTATTATTTTATAAACCCAAAATTAAAATTTTAGAATTTAATAAAGGCAAATCGTCAAATAATTTTCGAAAACTCAACACTGAAGGTTTAACACAACAAGTTCAAAAAGGTATTCAAATCCAAACAAATATAACTACTAAAGATAATATGAATCAGTCATTGAACAATCAAGGACAAGCTCAGAGTTATCCAACAATTACTGAGCCAGGTAATTGTGTATTAAACAAGAATAAAATTTTGTAGAAACTCGTACTGGTTTCTAATATGGGTAAACTGGTCCTATGGTGTAGAAACGCGCACTGGTCTCTAATTGGGGTAAAACCAACAAGTCGTTATACAAGCAAAACTTTATTTACTTCACAAAAGTTTATATAAAAAAGGTAAGTGATTCACACAAATTAGCTAAAGAATGTAGCTATAAGAGGAATAGGAAGAATAAGAGCAATAATGACAACTGAGCGCCCTAAGGAAGAATACAAAACCAATTTTATAGGTGTAAGGCCAAACATTAGTGTATGTGTAGGAAAACAAAGAATGTATGGGAAAATTGTATAGATTATGGATTTAGATAAAGGAGACAAAAATAAAAATGGAATTAAAAATAAAATTTTAATTTAAAGAAATTTCGCGTTTCGCGACATTCCGGCCAAGGCTTTTAGTGGGAGTAGTTGTGGGGGCAGCAGCAAGGGGCATCGTTGTTGGTTGAAGTTGAGCATATTCAAAGGTGTTGGTGGGTGGCGCACCATGAAGTTTATCTGGGATAACGGAATGGGTTGTCGTTGTACGGGAACATAGGCCAGGGTATAAGCCACACACGAACCACCATGCCAATTAGGAAAAGTTGTGCATGGAAATATATGGGGAGAATTAGTCATTTTAGGTTTTATTTTTACCTTCATTGTCTGAGGATTTAATTCCATTCTTATTGCTGGCATATTCGGCAGACACTCCCGCCAGGCTTTTGGTGTAGTCGTAGTTGGGCGTTGTTTCCATTTTACATTACGGTTGTTACAAATAGGCTGTTGATATGATTTGACTTTGTTGTGCAATTTATTCAGGGTTCTGGGGAGGGTTTTAACTGGGGCTGCTATCAGTTGGGAACAAAAGGTCTGGTGGTTGGGATTTGAATTGTTCAGAGAGGAAGGAGGCTGAGGCGGTTCGGTAAGTCTAGTATCAGGTCTGGATTGGGCAAAATAAGCATTGTTATTAAGGTAAGGTAGAGGAGGCCGTTGGGGAAGCCTCGGGGCAAATTGAGGTTTTGGGGAGAATAGGTGAGAACAAAGGGCCCGAGGGTGAGGGCCACCACAGGAGGAGCATTTCATGGGCATTCGGCATTGAGGGGTGGTGTGGCCTTCCTTCATACAACTAAAACACCGCCGTAATTCTCTGAGTTTATTTCGGCGGGAGTATAGGTCAGGATATTTGGTACAGGAGGGGGAAAAATGCCCAAAAATATTACAAAACAAGCAGGGAAGCTTGGGTTCTCTGGTGGTGAATTTTCGCATTGTCTGCGCATGGAAGGTTAAGGAGGATTGAGGTAAGGGAGGAGAGTCATTTCTAGGGGGCAATAAATTTGGAGGGGAAATTTGAATTTGCGGTTTTGGAGGGCTGGTGTTCATTGCTGCAATATCTTCTTTTCTTTTTAATATGGCTTTCAATTTTTGCTTTAGTAATTCTGTTGTCCATGCGGGATTTTCTTCTTTGGCTTTGTAAATCTCTTCTAGTACAAAAGTAGGGAGTTTTGATTCGATCTCTAATTGAATATGTATGTTGTCGGTAGTTTCTCCTTGTTGAGTAAATCGGCAAATTAGGCTTTCAAATTCATTAACTAGGGAAGATAAATCACGGCAAAAATTTTCGCCTTTTCTAACTGTTGGTAGTTGTTTCAGGGATTGACATAACGAACGGGAAATTTCTGTGGGATTTTCGTATTTGGCTTTCAAAAGGTCAACGGCTTGAGGATAGGATTGGTCAACAAGCGGGAAGGATTCAATGACGGCTAAGGGAGCCGAACGGAGGCAGGATTTGAGATATGACAGTTTTACGGAGTCAGAAATGTTCGGTAAATCTCCGACGGCGGCCTGGAAGGAGGACCAAAATGAGGGGAATTCAACACAATTCCCGGAAAATTGCGGTAGGGACATACGTGGTAAGTGGGCCAAAGAGGTAGAGGCAGTATTAGCGGTAGGAGGAGGGGTATTGGAATTGCTGCCGGGTAAAATAGCGGTTAGTTCATTTTTCTGGGCGGTCAAGGATCGGACGTATTTTTTGAGTTTTCCGATGAGTGAGGAGTACGGGCAGGATTTCGTAAATTCGTCATAAACGTCATTATCGTGGGTACGTTCTGGACCGGTCATTTTTTCTCGAAGGCCCATCCATTGGTCATGAGTAGTGGAAAGGTCAGTGAGGTTATCAGAGGCCTCGGAAAGAGTAAAATCCAATTCACGGAGGTAGGCTCGGATCTGGGTAAAGTAAATATGATCCGATTGTCCCTGGTTTCGGAGAGGGACGGGAAAAGTTTTATTCGCTTCCAAAATTCCGGTGATTTCCGGATATAGGCTTTTTATCTGGTTTCTGAATGGGAGAGACATTTTCGGTAAAAGAAAGGTTAAGAGAAAAACAAGTTTTGAAATGTAGAATCAGTCAAAAAAATAAGTATGAATCAAACAAAAGAAAAATAACAGGAGTAAGAATTTCACAAAAAGAGTAAAAATAGGAAGTAGGTAATAAAGTTCGATCTGGGTAAGACTGTAGAAACTCGTACTGGTTTCTAATATGGGTAAACTGGTCCTATGGTGTAGAAACGCGCACTGGTCTCTAATTGGGGTAAAACCAACAAGTCGTTATACAAGCAAAACTTTATTTACTTCACAAAAGTTTATATAAAAAAGGTAAGTGATTCACACAAATTAGCTAAAGAATGTAGCTATAAGAGGAATAGGAAGAATAAGAGCAATAATGACAACTGAGCGCCCTAAGGAAGAATACAAAACCAATTTTATAGGTGTAAGGCCAAACATTAGTGTATGTGTAGGAAAACAAAGAATGTATGGGAAAATTGTATAGATTATGGATTTAGATAAAGGAGACAAAAATAAAAAGGGAATTAAAAATAAAATTTTAATTTAAAGAAATTTCGCGTTTCGCGACAATTTTATACTCAACTCATTTTTAGCAATGCCTCAACATAAAAGCATACAACAGACTACGGGTTACCAGTCAACATTTCAGAATAGACCACAGACCTTTGTCCATCAAACAGCTGTTCCTTTATCTATGAACCATCCGATTACTCAAATTGGATCGCAAACAGCAAATCCTCTGATTAGACCACAACAGACAGTTCACCTGCCAGTGTTTCATAATAGACCACAGTCTTCGGGTAACCAGACAACGGTTAGACGTGCTTCGGCCTATGAGACAACGGCTCATCAAATTGGATCGCAAATAGATAATCTTTGGAGTAGACCACAATCATTAGTTCACCAGGAAACGGTACATCAGAGTAGACCACATAACTCGGGCCATCAGACAACCTTACCTACATCTATACATCATAAGATTCCTCAGTATGGATCGCAAGCAGCTAATCCTCTGATTAGACCACAACTACCAGTTCACCATACAATGTTTCATAATAGACAAGAGACTTCGTTACATCAGACAGCAGTTCCTGCATCTATACAACATGGACTTTCTCAATTTAGATCGCAAACAGTTAATCCTCTGATAAGACCACAACCAACAATTCAACAGACAACAGCACAAACATTGGTCCATCAAACAACGGTTCCTCCGTCTATATACCATACGATTACTCACATTGGATCGCGGACAGAACACCCTCAGATTAATATAATGTCTTTAAGATTCGATATAGATAATATAAACATTATTGTTAGCAATATGGAATTAGCAGTAGTAAAGTTTCATAAAAATCCATCATTTTATTTCGACACTATATCAAAGTTGGAGGAATTTTTAAAGCAACTAAGCATGATATCTAAAAGACTCTATTTATTAAGAAAAGAAATAGTTTTACAAGAATTGATATCACTTTTGGTACAACAAATAACAAATCTAATGAATGGGATAAAAGAAATAAACAGGTTATTGGGATTATTTCCAGTGAACTTCGAGTATTTGTTGGAAAAGAAAACGCCGGAATTCAATTTATGGTTAAATAATATTAAAAAAGAAATACAACTTTTACTTGAAAAAATGTTAAAAGAGAATGAAACGATTAAAGATAAACAAATAAAATTTTTAAATCAAAATAATCAACAAAGCAGGCAAAAACAAAATAGTTCAGAAACTTCTAATGCTGCCAGAAATAAACATAAATCTACTACTATTACTATACCATTAATAGATTTGACAGAAGACGATATTGAAGAAAATGAACAAACAGGTTGATAGGTTTAAGTTGTTTAATGAGAGAATTAATTACTAATCTAATTAAGTAATTAATTAACTCATATAATTAATCATTTTATGCATGATTTTATACAACATACTACCTTTGGGCTAGTATGTTACTATTAAACTGACCCTAACAATGGCTTTTATCCTAATATAATCGGTCTGATTTATTATTAACACAATTATACAAGTAAAGCAGCTGGGCTATAGCTATTTTTCTCCTTTAGCTAGTGCAAAAGGTTATTCGGCGGCTGGGAGCGAACCAGCATCTTCAGAAGACCGGACTGATGTGTTAGCCATTACACCACGCCGCCTACTGCTGAGCCTTCTGAAATTAATAGCTATATGCTTTACATACAGTACTAAAGCAATACCAGTACACAATACAATAGCAACGCCGGAGCCGTTGCTATTGTTAATGTACCTAAAATGCAAAATAAAGGTTAAAGAAAGAGAGTAAGTGGAGTTATTCGGGAAAAGTACTGAGAACTTTTCTTCATTTCATAGTCCAATTTACTCCATATAAATTATTTAAGATAAACAAACTTCTAAATCGACACATGAAAATACTATTCCTAAAAGAAATGAGCAATATGAGCAAGATGAATTGAGAAGAATTAAAGGAAAATCTGCCGTACACGAAGAAAAAGATGAAGAGATTAATGAAGATATAGTTAAAGCAATAAATTCAAATGATCAAGTGAAAGATATTAATGATATAGAAGAGTTTCACTTGAAATTAGCAATTGAAGCTTCTAAGGAACAATACAAAGCAGAGTTGCAAAATGTAGGAAATCTTTAACAATTCAAAGTGGATTAAAACCTTTGTCCGTCCGTTCAATTGGGTAATGAGCTCAATAAATAGGAGGGCGAGTACTTTTCTATTTTTATGTGGCTATGATCGAACATGACCAAATCGAAGCTATTTGGTTTATTTCTGTTACGAACCATGAATTCATAGGGCTTTGCCCGGAGCATCTTTCGGTATTTCTCGGTTAATTATCGAAAATCTAGATCGCCCACCTTGTAGAGATCGGCAAACTGCTAAGCGATACCCATGTGCTCTATAATGTTATAATTATTAAGATCCCTGACTACATTTTTTGGTATTGTAACTGAATCAAAATTATTTAAAAACATCAATTTTTTATAACAATGTTTAAAAAATATAATTTAAAATAATTTAAGAAATATCAAAAAATGTGCGAGAAACAAAACGAAGCGGAAGCATCAAAAGCTGACTTGTGCACATCTATCGACGATTCCAACACAGTAAACAATCCAACAAAAAATCATGGAGAGGAAATTAATAAAAATAAAGGAACGATCAAGTTCGAAATGTTGGAGGGGAGTAGTGGAGGTCAAAAGGGGAAATTGGCAAAAAATATTTTAATGAAAGGAAAGCCGAGAGTTGGAAAATATAAGTCGAAGGACCGTTCATATTTGGCCATTAAAAAGGCGTTGGCTGAAGTTAGAAAAAGAAAGGAGGGAAGGAAAGAACATTAAAAATATTTGAGAAGGAAGGAACAATCAGAATTTATTTGAGATAAAGCTAAAATTTTTGATAGAGTTGTAAATACAAGAGAATTATTATTAACCTTTATAACAATTATTTTAATTTATGGGTATAAATTTATGAAGCTTGATTCAGTACAAATGAATTTTATAACATTCAAGAGCCCTCGATAACCTCTATTTTTTCTAATAGGATATATCAAGTCTGATCATTGATTAAGAAGTTATAACTCGATAAGTTATAACTAGAGCTGTGATTTTTATGCAAATGCATATTTTTTTTGCAAACATGTCATGATGTATAATGCACGAAAAACACAGTTTCCGCTTGTTTTGAAAACTTTAGAGGGGGTTTCTATTTGCATATAATGCATATTTTAGCATATTTCGGACTTTGGTGCATAAATGCATATTTTACTGCATATTTTGAGGTTTTTGGGGAAAATATCGCGAAAATTGCCTAAAATCCTGCCAAAAAGTGAAAATTCTGTAAAAATTTTGGAAAAAATTTGTAAAAATTAAGAATTTTGTAAAAAAATTTTTTTTTGTTTTTTGGACCCGACCCAAAAATGTCCCACCCCAAAATGTCACATCGCCAAAACGCCTCATCTCAAAATGTCCAACAGAGTAAAAATACTCAAATTATTGAACAATACGTATACTGGGTGTAATTTAATAAAAATAGGTGTTTGAATGTTGTTGACTAAAAAAATATAAAATTTTTAGGTTTAAATTGTATTTTTCTTGCATATTTGCGTGGATATTTTGGGGTTCTTGCATATTTTCGTGCATATTTCGGCAATTTTTTATGCATATTATAGTGCATATTTTGCATTTTTTAATGCATAAAATTCACAGCTCTAGTTATAACTAGATTGCGGCAAAACATGCAAATGCATATTTTGTATGCGGATATGCTATGAGCTAAAACGCTCAAAAATGGTGTTTTTACGTCTGTATTAGGGGCCCAATTCCTATAGTAAATTTTTGCATTCGGCATTTTAGTGCATATTTGCATATTGTGCATATTTAGGCAGTTTTCGCATATTTTTTAAAATTTTGTGCATATTTTGATCATTTTTATGTACAATTTCTTCAAATATTGGTTGTATGGCTTGAGAAAATTTTCAAAAATTTTTTGAATTTTTGAAACGAAGAATTCCCTCAACTTAGAGCCGGCCCATCGAAAAAGCGGAAGAAAATGAACCATTGAATAATAGAAGCTTTTTTTCTCTATTTTAAATGAGAAATAAATATTAATGACAGTTAGTTTCTGTTTATGATTATGTTTATCTCTACCGACAACAGAAAGAATGTTGAGCTGATCCGATTAGTCTTTGCATGCGCTGGCCACGCACAAGCATCACTCTGCCCCAATACCTTCCAACTTTACTATAGATAACGCTTTAGAGCTTATTAGAACGTCAAATATGTCGATAGAAGAAGACTGATTTGGATAGAAGGAATATATAGCTAACGCTTTAGCTTATTAGTAGAAATGTGTCGATAGAATAAATAGAAAAAAAATATCAAATTTGTCGATAGAAGAAGACTGATTTGTATAGAAGGAATATATAGCTAACGCTTTAGAGCTTATTAGAACGTAAAATATGTCGATAGGAGAAGACTGATTTGGATAGAAGGAATATATAGCTAACGCTTTAGAGCTTATTAGAACGTCAAATATGTCGATAGAAGAAGACTGATTTGTATAGAAGGAATATATAACTAACGCTTTAGAGCTTATTAGTAGAACGTCAAATATGTCGATAGAAGAAGACTGATTTGGATAGAAGGAATATATAGCTAACGCTTTAGCTTATTAGTAGAAATGTGTCGATAGAATAAATAGAAAAAAAATATCAAATTTGTCGATAGAAGAAGACTGATTTGTATAGAAGGAATATATAGCTAACGCTTTAGAGCTTATTAGAACGTAAAATATGTCGATAGGAGAAGACTGATTTGGATAGAAGGAATATATAGCTAACGCTTTAGAGCTTATTAGAACGTCAAATATGTCGATAGAAGAAGACTGATTTGTATAGAAGGAATATATAGCTAACGCTTTAGAGCTTATTAGAACGTCAAATATGTCGATAGAAGAAGACTGATTTGGATACAAGGAATATATAGCTAACGCTTTAGAGCTTATTAGTAGAACGTCAAATATGTCGATAGAAGAAGACTGATTTGGATAGAAGGAATATATAGCTAACGCTTTAGAGCTTATTAGAACGTCAAATATGTCGATAGAAGAAGACTGATTTGGATAGAAGGAATATATAGCTAACGCTTTAGAGCTTATTAGTAGAACGTCAAATATGTCGATAGAAGAAGACTGATTTGTATAGAAGGAATATATAGCTAACGCTTTAGAGCTTATTAGTAGAACGTCAAATATGTCGATAGAAGAAGATTAATTTGGATAGAAGGAATATATAGCTAACGCTTTAGAGCTTATTAGTAGAACGTCAAATATGTCGATAGAAGACTGATTTGTATAGAAGGAATATATAGCTAACGCTTTAGAGCTTATTAGTAGAACGTCAAATATGTCGATAGAAGAAGACTGATTTGGATACAAGGAATATATAGCTAACGCTTTAGTGCTTATTAGTAGAACGTCAAATATGTCGATAGAAGAAGACTGATTTGGATAGAAGGAATATATAGCTAACGCTTTAGAGCTTATTAGAACGTCAAATATGTCGATAGAAGAAGACTGATTTGGATAGAAGGAATATATAGCTAACGCTTTAGAGCTTATTAGAACGTCAAATATGTCGATAGAAGAAGACTGATTTGGATAGAAGGAATATATAGCTAACGCTTTAGAGCTTATTAGAACGTCAAATATGTCGATAGAAGAAGACTGATTTGGATAGAAGGAATATATAGCTAACGCTTTAGAGATTATTAGTAGAACGTCAAATATGTCGATAGAAGAAGACTGATTTGGATAGAAGGAATATATAGCTAACGCTTTAGAGCTTATTAGAACGTCAAATATGTCGATAGAAGAAGACTGATTTGGATAGAAGGAATATATAGCTAACGCTTTAGAGATTATTAGTAGAACGTCAAATATGTCGATAGAAGAAGACTGATTTAATAGAGAGATTAATGGGAGAAGCAGTAATTATTAAAAATATTTGATTTTTTAAATTAATTTAAATAATTTTAAAAAATTGCGATTCCGAAATTTTTTTAAAAATTACGAATTACGATTACGAAAAAATTAATCGAAGAAACATTATCAAATAAAAGAGAAAAAGTTAATTTTGGGTCAGAATGACGTTGATAATAACAATGAGAAAAAGATTGAATATTCGATATTTCCTTCCTGTTATATCCTATGTTGATTTATTCTAAGAAAACGAAGTATACAAAGAATAGAATATCATGTTTTCACAGGAGTAAATACATGCCAAATAAGGTAACTGGAATTTTCATAATTTGCAGAGAATAGGTCCCAA